TATATGTTCAAAGGATAATAGTACTGGTTGGAATATAACCCATAATCCCAATTGTGATATTAAACAATTCCAATGTCAATAATAGCTAATATTAAGTAATATTTTTTTTATTTTTTAATTTTTATTATAAAAACTTGAACGCTAAAATTACGAGTAGCTTGAAATCAGTGTTTTTTTTTAAGAAAATAAAGAATGACAATTTTTGGTAACGATTAAACATATTTCGAAAATGGATATCAATTATACTTTTAGGCTGACATGAGGACGCCAATTGGTTATATTAACAGTTCCAATCCTATTATTACTTTTTTTTTTTGGATTCAATAGTTTCGGTGATTAAAGTACATAATTATAAATTTTTAAAATTTAGAAATTTATACCAAGGCATAATATAGTACTGATTAATCGACAAAGCTAGATCGCAAAATGATAATAATAGATTTACAAAGTTTGTACATGTATTTCTTACATTTTCTTACATTTCAGATTTTGGACAACGGTAAAAAAAAAAGGAAATTTTTAAATGTTAATGACATTTTGTATTTTAGAATATTTTAACTAAAATTTTAATTTTCGGTTTACCAATTTGGCCAATATGAAATGATAATAAATTATATGCCAAAAAAAAAAGAAAAAGAAAAATATGGTGTGTTTATTTTATATTCTGTAAATAATCAAGGATATATGATATTACGAAAACAATTCCCGCAGAGTATTTCATGTTCGATGATGATCTAGAAAATTATCATACATATTGAAATGAAAGGCGTGGTGGACATCGAAATTTGCGACCGTCAAAATGCTTCAAATTCGTGCTGGAACAAGGAAAGCACCTATTTTACAATAACAAACTGTTTTGTATTTATGGATGAACTCTAAAAAACAATAATAAAAGAAGGAAATGGTTAAAAAGAAGTCCTACGAACAACGACATTACCGAATCCGGTTAAGTTTTTGTTAGCAATAGGTGATAATATATAACATGTTTATTGTTAAATCAATTTTTAATAAATTCAAATCAAAAAAAAAAAAAAAATACAAGCGCATTGTTAAATGAGATTTTTATTGGATAAACAAATGTCATTTATATTAGAGTAAAAATTAACATGGGGGCTAAGCTATTAAAATCACCTTACGGGATAAGAAATTGATTTTGAGTAAATGATACTTGAAAATCAATTTCGTAACACTTGAGATTTTGCTAGAAAATTCAATTTTTAAACGAAATTAAAAAAAAACATTTGCTAGGGTATTAAATACCCTCCTCAGATTCCCCATCCAATCATAGTAAAGTTAAGAAATTTTGAATTTTATAAGGGTCCAAATAATATCGATCATTTCCTAATTAATTCTAATTTTAGATTTTTTGACTGATGTTACACAAACAAATGAGATTTGACGGCCTAAATTGCTTGCTTTGTTAATAAGATAATCGACTATAAAAATTTAACCAAATAATGTTCATATATCATATAATAATATGAATCAAAAATTTCAATTTTAGTTGGTGGGGTCCCGTTCTATTTATATTCGAAAAATATAGAAACAATGCAAAAAATCAATATCATATGGGATCTTTGCAATAGAAAAGGGGGAAACGGCTGGAAAAAATAAAAAATGAGTTATTGCTAAATCTGAACATAAAATTCATATTTGGCATATAAAAGTAAAATAGATTTTTCCCGGCTGTTTCCCCCTTTTCTATTGCAAAGGTCCCATATATCCTTTCATCGTATTTGTCGATAGGATTTCCATAATAATTATTGGTACGAACAAAAACGGGATCATCGGTCAGAGGATAAATGATTTTTAATTCGATTAACGTTTTCAACTCACAATCCGAAATGTTGCACGGCAATTTGATCGTTCTATTTACACTTTCATAAGGAATATAATTTGTTTCTATTGGATTGCATTTGTTAAAATCGTTTTCGAAATGATCGATGGCATCATTTTCGGCTAAAGTACATGAAGATGATGCTTCATATTCGACGATATTATACGAGTTAAATTCATCCTTATCCGGATACAATTCTGGAATTGATGAATATATGTAAAAATCGTTTTCGAAATGATCGATGGCATCATTTTCGACTAAAGTACTTGTAGATGATGCTTCATATTCGACGATATTAGACGAGTCAAATTCATCCTTATCCGGATACGATTCCGGAATTGATAAATAAATGTCAATAATTTCAACAATTTCATCAATTTCAATTATATTTTCATAAGTTGTGAATGATGTAATTTCAGAAACCATGGTTTCTTTGATCAAAGAGACTTTTCTTGGTTTGCGGAGTACTTTGCGTTTAAGAGATTTAAATGTCTTTGAGATAATTTTTTTCAACTTATTGGGCGATTTATGCTGTGTTGGCCAGAATTGATCACCCTCTAATGGTTCCATATCAATAGATTGGGTACATACAGGAACGAACTTTTTGTCAAAAATCGAAAAGTTGGGATCGAAAGTAGTTGTTTGCATTTTGGTTGAAAAGTTGTGTTTTTAAAGTATAAATTTTTTTTTTTTTTTTACCTGTATTGATGTTTACGGCAAGGTGCCTTTTGAGCGGCCTTCCTTGCTTTTATAATTTTTGTACAGAATGCGTGTCGTTGGTCAACTATGTAAATCAAACTTTGTTAAGTATCATATAAAAATTTACTATAAGAGATTTTTTGACGATCATTTAATTTCTGCGGTTATACCGGTTAAATGGATCAATTGGATTTTTTTGCCGGATATTTTAAAAATTGTAATACAAATTCGAAGTTTTATGACTTTTAATTTTTTAATACCAATTACAGAGTTTATACAGTAATAAAGAAAATTATATATTTTTTCTTTTTTAAAAAAAAATTTTTCAAATAATTGATCCGCTTTTCTAACTCTTTCTGCATCATCTAAAATTAATTATATTATTCTTCAAATTTAAGTTACATAATGGTTGATTTTTTCTTTGCTCCCGGACCTTTTTAATACTGGATTTGTTAATATTTTCAAATGAATTAGAGCCAATAGAAAGCATTGTTTAGTTTTAGCTCGTCCATCCTATTTAAGATTTCATTAATTTTTTGTTTTTTTATCATTTTTATTTGCTTCTAATTTTTGAGCTTGTATTTCACGAACTTTTTTAATTGACGGGCACGGCTTGAAATTCTTCCCATTAAATAATCCGAAATCTGTAAAATTCAAATTTCACATAATTTTAGTAGCTCTTATGTAGTGATAAAGTTCAAATGCATACGTGGCGACCTTAGGAACAATGTGACACTTTGTTTTTTTGAAGAAGATTAAAAAAGCGAAACTTTTCCTATAGAGGAATTGTTCAGAAATAGTTATTTTTGTTATTTTTGAAATATGAATAGCTTTTTTTAAAAAAAAGCAGCTAGTTGCATGAAAGAGATGGTTATTTAGAATACTTTCGCGAAATTTGGAATGAAATTAATAAGAAGTCAAAGAAATTGAAATTTAAAAATATATTAGTTTTAATAGGAAATTTATTAAATTTAAAACTATTTTAAATTATAGTTTAATACGAAAAAATCTCTAATAGTAAATTTTTATATGATACTTAACAATGATTTGATTTACATAGTTGATGGAACACCCAACGTATCGTGTTAATGTTGATTATATTTAGTTAATCTTATTGTCAAAGGTATGAATTAATTTAAGACATCTATTATCTTTGGACGTATTGTTACGAATGAAAGTAAGTTTAACACGTAAATTTGGGTTGTTATCTTCAAAGATGGATACCAAAATATTATTGTATTGTATTTGCATTATCGAAAATTTAAATTATACAGTATCTTGAATTGTATGATTCATCAATACAAGAAGTAAGTTTCTACAATACTAGGATATTTCTATTATTTGTTACTTTATATTTTCAAATTAAAAGAAAATTTATACTTGAAGTAATGTATTATGTGACATCATTATTTATCGCGTTATTACTTTCTTTACGTTATAATACAAATAACAACAATACATGGCAAAATCATTACTTAATAATTAAATGACGAATTCATAAATTACATATCAATCTTTCGAATTGTAGGACAATGTGACTGTCATCATTCATTTGATATAACAATTCAACCAAAGAAACTGAATCAAAAGTTTATGTCGAAGAAAATAATGACCTTCACCTCCACAATGCCTCATTGGGAATATATCTACATTGCTACCAAACTTAATTATCATAATCGCGGAAGGTAACAATGCATCAACATGCGCAGAAAATTATTAAAAGCAAATCCTAATCATCTATGATTTGATTAATCGTTCGTTTTATTTATGGTGTGGCGCAACGATATCTAATTCGGATTCCATCACAAATATACGCTAATTTTTTTTTTTTTTTTAAGAACATAAGCCAAATTTATAAAAATTGAATCCAGACGAAGGAGTAATAGCATAGAAAATGCCTTTAATTTCGGGATTTGATTCCGTGTTTGATATGTTTCGGGCCGGCATAAAAGTACTTGGCACATGCGGACCTCTGCTTTGATGGATGTTGCAAGTATAAAAAGAAATTTTGTTAATTTCACTTCAGTCTTATTCTTTTTTTATTATTTTATTTTTCTTTCAGGTTCTATCTCTTCGGAATCTTTTTTTTTTGATTGCTTCAGGTTGCAGTATCGAAATGGATTCTCCCTATATTTTCAGGTAATATTTGCTTTTTCAGGTTCCTCACCTCTTCCGGTGCGACCACTTCGGAAGTAAAATGTAATATACTTTTTCGGTTTAATCGCTTCAAACTGCAGCGATCGAAAATGTTGAATTTCCCTCTAGTTTTATTATAAAAAATAATAACTTAACTGCCACCATTTATGTCTAAAAAAAAAAAGATTATTTATGAGAAACCTAAGGTCGAAGAAATTTAGTAACTTTACAAATTGAAATGTTTTCGCCTTATAATTCGAGTCCCTGCGTAAAACATTAATTTAATAGAAGAAATTCAAATCAAACTTATCAATGAAGTTTGGTTTCGTAAAAGAAAAAACTAACGATCATCTATGTGTCTTCTTTATATTTCTCATCATGCCATTCTTATCCGCCTTACATCCAGCGATTTCTTTAAACATTGGTAAGTTTTTGTTTCGATACTGCGCCAAACTTCGGCCACTATTAGGGGCTGGCACCGCATTATTTATTTCGGAATATTTATGGGTCATAAAAAAATTACAAGCTTTCTTTTATGGATAAAATCCAAATTCAAAGTTCTTTACAAAATAATTTTTTATCTTTATCGTTTACTTTATAATACGTTAAAATCACGCACTTCATAATAACTTTTTTTTTTATTATTTAGCATTGGCATCATCAATTTTTAGAGCAATTTTTTCAAAAGGATTATCGCAATGAACCCTTCAAATCTAATCAATTAAACCAAATCTTCTGAAAATATAAATTGAATGATGTTAATAGATAATAACCTTGTATGTTCATATCAAGGTCTTATGGACTTCACTTAAGACTAATAATAGTTGGTTCTGGGTGGTTTTCATAATATAAGTATCTGCTAGTATATACAGGGATGTGTCTTTCTATTTATGGACTTTTCTTCATTTAATTTGATACACTTAATTCCTTTTTTCTATTAGGTAAGTTTAGAGGGATTTTTTACTTTATTCATTTTTTTTTATTTTTATTCAAATATTTCTTTTTCCTTCGTCTTTATATTTTTCTTCGTTAAATTACTTTATCAATTTTTTGATTTGAGAACTGGATTCATCACCTTTATCATAGTATGATTCAACTACGGTTAGGTACATTTCTTTACATCCATCAATACATTTAAAATAAAATCACCAAAGAATTTCGGTCTAATTCCATTATATATCTTGATAACTAAAGTATGATCATGAGGTCTATCATCATAGGAAATTTCTTTGGAGAAAAAAATAATTCATTGCCCACCATTCCAAAGGAATAAATATCTGCTGCTTTGGTATATGGTCGACCAAGTAAAACTTCTGGAGCAATAAGGCAATGCTCCAAACGAATTACTAGTTGTTCATTGCTCTTATTTACAGGTTGACACATTCAAAACCACCCGGATGAAAATCTTTGTGAACCTTGTAATATGCGTTAATATATATGATTTTTCAATGACCGGTAGATTCATTGCATATCACACATAGTGCCTTTAATCGATTTAAGCACGAGCTGGTCAATTAATCAATCGATCACAAAACTTTAAAAAATTGATTGACTTTTTATTCGATTAAATTGTCGCAGTTGATCTATCAAAATTTACCATTGATCGATTAAAACAAAATGGCATCAAATAAAGTTTGACAAATTTTTTAAATGTTAAAATATCATTTCATTTGGAAATCCTTGAATCGTCAAAATATTTTTTTTTTCTTGAATTCAGTGAATTTCCTAAATAGGTTGAATTTGAAGATCACGTTAAGTAATCAAATAAATAAAATTATTTTAATTATTAACATTATAAGACGATGTAAATTCCCTAATAACATAACATCCTCACCTCGATATGGTGTTACTGTACCTAAAATTCTAGATAGCTCATATGACACTTTTGTACAACCCCGGTTTTATTCGGTATAACCTGTTACAGATGTTTCAGTCTTTGTTTCTTCTAAATGAATATTTGAAATGAAGTCATTACACATGAATGTTTGCCATCACGTGATGATAACGTAAACTACTATATATGTGTTTTTTATTTTACGTTGGGATTACGGTAACTTTCTCTTTTTCAATATTGCGTAATCAAACTGCGGGGAAAACCAATATTATTTTTTCCGTTATTTTTATTTTATTTTTATTTATTTATTTTATTTTTTTTTTTTAAGAAAAAATGTCTAAACTTAGTAAAGATATTCTTTATTTTATATTCGAAAAATTACAAGGGGATTCAAAATCCTTATTTTCATGCTTATTAGTCAATAGACTTTGGTGTGAGGCCGTGGTTCCGATCATTTGGAAGGATCCCTGGTGCTCTACAAATGGAGATTGCAAAAATATTCAAAATAAAAGTTCATTGTATTACATTTTTACCTTGTTTTTATCCGAAAATAGTAAAGAATTTCTAACTAGTGAAATCCAATTATCCCAATTCTCACGCCGGCCACTTTTATTTGATTATCTGTCATTTTGCTTGTGCATTAATGCAAGTGCTATAAACGAGATGTCTTTTATCTACTCTTCTTCGGCCAGTGATCGTTTTCATATTCAACAAGAAATTTACGGTCTCCTTATGAGGAAATGCCCAAAGTTAAAATATTTGGATATGAGATCACTTCAACACCAGATATATTTATTTCCAGGAGCAACTAATTTTCTCGAATCGTTGTGTGAATTAAATTGTGATATTTCCATGGACTCCGTATACTTTTATGGAATAGCACGTATCTGTCAATCTATACAAAGGCTGATTATTTTTAATACGAGCATAAAGGACAATGATGGACTTGTTAGTTTAATTGAAGCTCAGAGAAATTTAAAATATTTTGAGTGGGTTGATGAATTAAACGTTGTTTATTCGAACGATTTAGATGATTTTTATTGTAACATTGCTAGGGCCTTAAAAAAAAAAGGCAGATACCCTTACGTCTTTTATAAACCGTTTTAATAACGTTGATGATTTTGTCAATATTGTATCACAGGTACTTCCGGATCTTGATAATTTAAAGGTATTGAAACTAAATATCATGACAAATGTACTTGAAAGATATTTGAGAATTTCGACATTTCAACATCTTGAAGTCTTTCAGATAAACTATATTAATATTAAAGCGATTAATTATATGATTGAAGGCACCGGTGGACGTCTCAAACAAATTTTTATCAAGGATCTTTTAATCTTTAGCTATGACCTTTATGATGAATCCCTTAAACTTATTCGTATCGTTCGTGAAACTTGTCCTTTAATTGAAAATCTGTCACTCGTGTTTATACAACCATCAGACAAGCATTTAATTGAACTTGAAAAGTTACTGAGGACATGCCAAAATTTGAAGGTGTTAATTTTAGAGATGGATGACAATTCTAATGATAAGGATCAAGGCACGTACGAAGAAAGGAAGTTGGCGTGGGGAGAAAAATTATTAAACGTATTAGTTAGGTCCGCACCTAGTAACCTGAGTGTTATTGGAATTCTTAATGAATTTAAATTTTCAATTAATACACTAGGGGAATTTTTGGAGAATTGGAAAGGTCGACCGGTCCTTTCTTTTTTTACGTCAAGCAGTGAATATATAAATGAAGAATTTACAAAATTAATTAATAAATACAAGGATAATGGTGTGATTAAAGAATTTAGACATAGTAATGTGGATAGTATTATGGACAATTATGGATTATAAATTATATTATAGATTGTATGATTTGTACGATTAATAAAATATTCAAGATCACGTATCGCTTAATTCGTGTACTTGCTGTACAGTACATCATAACTTACTTTTTTTCTGATCAACCAAAGTGTACAAGCCTTATAGACAATTGGTGGTGCTTATGATCTCTTTCTTTGCACAAATAATTTACAGTCTTTTTATAGTAAAATAACAAATACTTTATTAATAAAGACTCAATTGCGTGATATTACATACTTTTGTTGACTACCTAAATATAGATAGATCGGAATGATCAGATATCCGATGTATCCGATGAATCCGATGAAAACATTTATTTTCTTCAATCATTTTTATTCCGAATTGTAGACCAGTTCACTTGAGGCGGGTATTTTTAAATAATTGCCCGTTAAAAAAGTTTTACTAATGTTATTTTTTTTAGAACGCCGGACTTGAACGAACGGGGTGTGATTTTTTTTTAATTTATAAATCGGCTTGAAATACTATATTTTGGTAATTTAGAATAGTAAATTAATTTTACATGTGAAAACGCTAATTTGTGTATGACTTAATTTTATGGAGGAACCTTAGCTTTAAATAGAAATTTTAAAATACTTATAAATATTTAAAAAAATTCTCAAAAATAATTATTTTTTTTTTTTATATATAAAAATTCCTCAAAAAAAAACAATTTTTTTTATATATATAAAAAATTATAATTTTTTTTTTTTATAAATATAATTTCATTTGAAGAATATAAAATAATTCATAAATTACCATTACAAGATCATAAATACATAAAATATTATCTATTAAATTACATTATGGAAAACTAAATTTAATATCCTTTACAAACAGGAATTACCAATAAAAAAAACTAGAACTTTTTTTCAGTTTTAAAATAAAATATATAAATAAAATCAAATATTTGAAGAAGGAATATTTTATTATACATATTATGATGAATGAAGATTACATTTAAATAGAAAATTTTCATGTAAATATATTTTAAAATTATCATAATTAGAAGAAGTATTTAAGATGAAATTTGAAATTAAATTTAAAAATTATATTAATTTTAATATTTTTAATATTAAACAATTATTATCATTATTGTTATAGTTTATTATTTATAACTATAAATATTTTTTTCTTTATTATTATTGTATTAATATTAATGCTAATACCTGATTACATTAATCTTATTATTTATATTATTATCTTTATTATCATATTAAATTATATTTTATATATTTATTATTATTTAAACTATAACATTATAAATTAGTTTATTTAAATAATATTAACTAATATTTTTATTATAAAATAAATAAATTTTTTAAAAAATAAACATTTATAATATATTAAAATTAAAATGTTTTATTATAATAATAAAATATTAATATAAATATAAAAGTAATATTTAAAATAAAAATTAATAAAATATATAATAATAATCTTTAATTAATTACAATAAAATATATAACATAAAATTCTTAATTTTATAGTATTTTTGTAATATTTTTACTAAATTTACTTTAAAGATTTATAATTAAGTATTATTTATAATTTGAGTTAATTTTTAGAAAAATCAGATTCTAGAAATTTTTTAACAAAATTGAGATTTTTATGCATTTTAATTTTGATATTATTAGATTAAAATATATTAAGTTTTTAATTTTTTCTCAAAAATCTGATTTTTCTAGAAATCTTTTCATTTTATTAATTTATTGTAATTAGAAAGAATTATTATATTAAGTTTTAACTTTATATATATATATATTTAAATATATTTATAATTAATAATTAAATAATTATTTATTAATATAATAATTTCTTATTTTTATATAAATTTCTTATTAATAAATATAAAATAACTTTTATAATTTAAAAATTAATTAAATACAATATATTATTTTTTTACTTTTTAAATCATTATTTATCATAATTTATATAATTCAATTAAATTTAATTTAACTAATAATAAAATATTTACAAATATTTTTAATTTTATTTATTTAATAATTTAATTACTTTTCTTTTATCTTTAATTTTTATAATAATTAATTCTTTTTTTTTATTTGTTTTCTTCTCTTTTTATTTATTTATTTTATTTATATATTCATCCTATAAAATTTTTTAAAAAAATATATTTTTTAATAAACAAATCTTATTAATTTTAACTATTATTATTATATATTTAAATTTTACAAATAGTTAATAAAATAATATAAGTCTATAAATTATTAATATATAATTTGAATATTCATAAAATAGTCAATTAATTCTTATAATATAAATATAAAATTAAAAAAAGTGTATAATACAAAAAAATTAAAATATAATATATAATAAATTTAAATAAAATTTTAATATTGACAATTAAAATTAAAAATAAGACATAATGATAATAAATTATATAATCAAATATAATTTTAATAACTACTTTTTATATACTATTTAAATAAAAAATTTATTTAAATTATAAAAAAAAAAATAATAAATAAATTTTTTAAATAATTTTTTTATTTAAAAAATTATTAAATTTTAAAAATAAAATAAAGTAATTATATTATTTAATTTAAAATCTAATTTATAAATTAAAAATTATTTTAATTAATTTATTTAATAAATTATATTTTAAATAAAAACTATTTATAAACTTTTTTATTAAAAATTAAAAATATACTTCAAATTAAAACAATTATCATTTTTTATTTTTATTTAAAAATATGTTAAAAATTAATTTTATACTAAATATTTTAAAATAAACATATTTATTTTCTAAAATTATAATAATTTATTAGTAAATATTAGAAATTTATTGAATTTACTATAAAATAAAGTAATAAAATTATTAAATTCATAAATAAAAAAAAAATAAAAATAATTTAAACTACTTTTTAAAATTTGTATTATTATTAATACTAGGAAACAGTTCACTGTTATTAAGTTTAAAGCTAGAATCCTAACTATTAAAAATCGATAAGTGGTATATAACATAATTATGCTAAATTTTAATTAAAATTAATCCTGACTTTCTGCAACGTAAAAAATATTTACTGAATTTTTTTTTAACTTTTTTTAGTGGTTTCACAATTTTATTTTAGTTTAGCAGTATAATTTATTTTGAGTTTAGCAGTATAATTTATTTGAATTTAGCAGTACAAAATGTAAATAAATAATATGCTATTTAGAATTTGTACTAATCAATTCAATTATTGAGTAGGAGAATATGAATATTTGATCTAAACAGCATATAGAATTATATAGTCCTTTACTACGCTCTGACTAATTAATATAAATATATACTATCATTATTAATTAATTAAAATATTTAATATATTATAAATTATAAAAGTTTAATAATTATTTTATTAAAAAGGATTTTTATAATTAATTTTTAATTATATATATTATTAATTTAAAGTATATGAAAAACAGATATAATATAATTCACTTAACCAGTATAATACAATATTATAAATCAGTTTTTTTATAAAATTTTAGTTATATTTTATTATATTAGTTTTATAATTAAACTCTATATATATTTTACTAATTTTATGAAAATTACTAATTTATAATATTATACTATATTAGTCAAGTAAATTATATTATAATAATTTTTATTATATATTCCTAACTTAATATATTTTAAATTACCTTAGCAATTTTTATAATATTTTTATAAGTTATTTAAAATTCCATTCTTTACAAAAGTTATTTTAAAAAATTTATTTATTATTATATTAAATGATTAATATATACTAATTAATTTATATAAAATAATTATTAAATCAAAACTATAATCATACAAATTCTTTTTATTTATTAAAAAAAACTTCTGATTTCTTAAATCACTAATAAAATTATTATATATATTATTTTATTAATTTAACATTTATCTAACTATTTTTTTAAAATTAAATAAAAATGTTAAAAAAAATTATTTCTTCTTTTATAATTTGTTTTCTTTAAAATACAGATTAATAATAATTTTAATTTACTTATTTCTTAAATTATTGGTATAAAATTATTTATAAAATATTATAAAAAAATTATAATATTTTAATAAATAATAATTATAAAAAGATGAAATAAAATTTATTAGAATTGTCGTCTTAAAATATATTTAAAGATAGTATTTTTAAATTTTTATATATTAAAAAATAACTTATTTAAGTATCATAAAAAAATATTTTGTTTGTTAAATTCATTTTATTAAGACTTATTAAATAATTATATTTTTATATTTTGAGATAAGTAGATAAACAAAATATAATTATAAAAATTTAATTTTTTTTTTATAATAATTTATTATATATTTATCTTTAAAATCTTACTAATTAATTACATTTTTTTTGACTTTTTACTTAGAAAATTTCATAAAATTTATTATAATAATAATAATTTTGCAAATTCTATTTAAATTTGATAGGTTTTAATAAGTTTATTATATTATAATTATAGAATATAAAAAATAGTTTTTTTTTGCTTTTGATTTTTTTTAATGCAATTAGATTATTATTTATGTCTAGCTAGGACTGACCTTAATTAATATTTAAAAGTAATATATATTTTATTTAATATTATTATATTTGCTAAATATATATTATATATGTATTAGATTATAATATTTATTAAATTAGAAGTGATTATAATGTTTTTTTTTTAGATGAAAATATTCTTTAATTACAAATTAATTTATTTAAATTAATTATTTCTCATTTTAAACATTATTTTTGAATGTATCATCACCATGGTGAAGGTAAATTAATTTTTTTTATTTTATTTAAGTTTGATCAATTTTGAATCTTAGACTAAGAATTGAACACAGATCATTATCGTAGTGAAGGTAAGCTGACTAATTTTTTAATTTATTTTTTTTTTCTTTTTTAAAAAAAAAAGGATAAAATAAATAAAATTAGTAATCAAAGTAATTACCAAAATAAGAAAAAGTGTGATAGTTTAAAATTTGATACTATATTGAAAAGAAATTTTATGCTAAA